TGATCGTATTAGGATGAAAAATATGGAGAGATCTAAATAAATTCTCTAAAAAATGTTACTTGCACTCAACTATAATTTGCATAATGCATGGCTGCTTTATAGTTACTTTTATATCAAAAACAAGGGAATGTCATTTTGCGTAAAAAAGGATCTTGCATTGCATTTATTGTATGACCTTTTCTGCATCAAGTTATTATTCTACATTCTCTTACCCACTCATTTCTACATCAAAAGAAATACCAATATGCATGTGGCACCCTAATGCTTTATTATTTCTAATATGAAAAAATGAACTATTTAGTATATTCTTACACTCTACATGTTGCACCTTGCTCTATAACTATTTTTTACATGAAAATGAGTTATTCATCACTTTACAATATTATGTGTGTTGTACCCTCTTACCTAACTATTTTTTAGCATCAAATGACTTATTCTCTTATTTTCTTGCACTCTGTATAAATGTAATTCTACATTAAGAACAGACCTTTTTAATACACGTTATATGCCAAATTCTACATAAAAAGAAACATTTTCAGCACGTTATTGCATATGAATCTTGCATTAAAAGAACTATTTTTTTTATCCTGTCATACACACAATTTCGTATTAAAAGTATTCTCCACACTTTGTTGTATATATATATTGCTGCACTAAGGAAATAATTTTTTGCACTCCACTCTATATAGGATTTTGTATCAAGGGAGTGTTCGCTTGCACGACATTGCACCGTGTTTCCATGTTGAGAGTGATGTCCCTAACGAAAGTCTCTAAGTTGTTGCAACCTTTAAGTAATGCTAATTCTACATTGTATCGTGGAAATGAATGCCTTTTTAGTGTCACTTAGGTGATGTTCTTGGTTGGATTGAACTAATATAATTATTTGATCTATCACTAGCTCATTAAATTAGCATGAAGATTTGAATAGGTGTGTGTTAGCCTTATGTTGAAGTATGATTGCCACTCTTAGAATGAGTTTTGATCCGAGTATATAAGTTCATGCATTGGTGGGTTTAAAACGAGAGTGATGACAATTTGAGATCTCTACAGCATTGTGTTGAAGTTGCATTTTTAAAGTGTCATACTCAATTAATTGAATAATGCAAACTAGCTAGATTGTAAGTACACACACATGTATACATGGACATTTGCAATTGCTTGAGCCACAATCTAGTTTTGAAATGATTGGTTCCCTTTACTTGTACGCAACAAAATACTCAATGGAGATGTTAAAGGTGTTGTATTCTTGCAAAGAATTTTGTGTGTTATGGATTTGATCCTTAGATTTGTGGCAAGGACTAAAAACCTCAGTCTGAAATTGATAATTGTAAATGTGTACGATTGTCGACAAAGGAATCTGTGTGATGATTGGTACCATATGGGGGATTATGTGTCTAAATGGGATATCATCCGAAAGAAAGAGGAAGTTGAATGAAGTGACAGTAATAATGAAAGGTGGAAAGCTAATTAACTAAGTTGTTTGTCATGCATCATAACATGTGCTAAGAAAGTTGTCGAGGCTATAGTTTGGCATAACTGTGGAATGCCTATGTTCATGTTCAAGGGAGAACCTTGGGGGTAGTGAGGGGAATGACCCAATGGTGCGAAGTAGCTCACCGTGATCAGGTCACGTGTAACACTTTAATTTAATTTTCTAAATAAATCAATTTCTCAATAAATGAGAATAATAAAATTTTATTCAACAGTTCTCAATATATGATTTCAATAAAGTATTTCAAAATAAGGATGAATTATAAATTCTAAAAGTGATCAAGTTCCATTTGAAGAGAGCTCAGTAAAGGATGAAGCAAACAAACATAGATCAAACAAGAAGTATTAGATTGGTCATATGGTTTATGTGAAACTACACCCCTATAGGCAAGTTTCTGTGGCTACAAAAGCAGTGCTAAGTTGAGCCCCAAGTACTTTGATCCATACAGAATCATTGATTGTATTGGTGTAGTAGCTTATAAATTGGAACTTTCTGATCATTCCAAAGTCCACAATGTGTTTCATGTATCTCAACTTAAAAAACATGTTAGAGATGCAGTAACTTCAACCAATCTACCCTATAAACCGAGGGAGCATTTGCTGAAAGGGAATCTGAGGCCATTTTAGATAGAATGACCGTAAAAAGGAAAGGAGCTACAGTAACTAAAGTTTTGGTCAAGTGAAAACATCAATTTCGAAAGATGCAACCTGGGAGTTCTATTATAATTTGAGGTAGAATTACCCTACATTCCATCCTGAATGTCATTTTATATCTTTAAAATTTTCTATCAACTTTATGTATGAATTTTATGATTTTCAGAATTAAACCATTCACATTCAATTTCACAATCTCAATTTATTATGAAAATTAACTTTATAATTTAATATATTGTTCATTGTTTCTTCATATCTTTCCCATGCCATCTATGTGCACTGGCTGTATCTGTTTAGCATAATTTCTGTAAATTTTCCTTAAATTGCATTTTTTCTCGCTTAAGCAAAAGTTATAGAAAAAAAAAGGTTCACTAAATAAATATTGTTCAAGTTAATTCACTTAAACCACACAAGATATTCTAATATTACTTAAGCAAATAAAATTTAACTTAAGTAAAGATTAAAGCCAAACTATTACGGCTTAAGCGAAATTGACTTAACTTAAGTTAAAAATAATGTCTTAAAATTTATATGTTTTGTATAAAATTAGCTTAAGCAAAAATCACAAAGAATAATTTTTCTAGATTTTTCAACATTCAATCACTTCTCTTTAGTTAATATCCTTATTCTGATTTAACCAAGTTGTTCATTTCTAAGAAAATGTGGATGTATATATGATGTTTATAAATTTAATTGGTTCTATTTACAAAAATTACAATACAAAAATAGTGTTAGATTTAGGAAACATGTTTACATGTTATTTAGAAAAAAAATAAAAAGAAATTTAAGTAAAATAAAGAAAAAATCAAATAAAGTTTCTAAGACATTTTTTAAAATGAAAATTATTTGATTCCATTTCATCTCTTATTTTAGATTTTTTTTTCAAACTTTTTTCACTTAAATTTTAACTATAGTTATTCAATCTATTAAATTAGTTGTTAAAAATATAAAAAAGATTTGAATTAGTTTTAAAAATAAAGATAAAAGGAATTGATTTTAATAAAATATAATTTTTATATAAATAAATAAAAAACTTACCTTTCATTAATAATTATAATTATAATTATATTTTAAAAAATATATACTTTAAAAGAAAAATAATTTTAAACAACTTATTTTAAATATTTAATATTTAAAAAATTGTAAACTTTATTATAACATGTTATTTTGTTAATTTATTTATAAATCATATAATACATTAACTCACTTTTAATTGTTACTAAAATTAAAAAATATTTAATTTTAAAACAATTTTGAAAAAATAAAACTTATATTAATAAACAATTTTTATTTAGAAAAAAAAACTATTTTAAAAAAACACAAGAGAAACTGATGTCCTCTTCCATGTCCGCCTCCTGTTCCTCTCGTCCACCTCGAAGAACGCACCCAACTCAGCCTCCCACAATCCATCTTTTCTCTCCATTGTTGAAGAACTCATCCAACACTTGGTTCTCGCTTCACCCACGACATTCTTGCTCTTTCTCTTTCCTAAGTGGTCCCAACAACATCAACGATTCTCAATCCCTCGCCGATTGGAAGTTCCTCGCAGAGAATTTGGGGAGCAAATCCGCTCAACCCATGTTTTCCCTCACTCTCCCTTCTGTCCGTTCAAAATGGTGAAGACGTGATTGTTGAGCCTGTGTACACAAAGTTGTCTTTAGTGAAGTTCATCTTGTGATGAGGTAGGCTCGTTGAGGTATAAATGTGTATTTGGATTAACTGTTAATTTTTAAAATAATTTGGAGACATTTTTGCATTATTGAATTAAAATAATAAAATTGTGAAAATAATTATGAGACTTGAAGTGATGACTTTGACGTCTCTTTGGGAGCTCATAGTTTAACAGGACTCAAGTGATATTATTGGTATCAATTTTTAATAAATTTAAAAATTTAGAGAGTAAATCCTAATAAAACTTTATTTAGGAATTAAATCTAAATATTGCAACTTTTTCAATGACCAAAAATATAATTACACACTTTCTTTTCATGTAGTTAGACTTAAATAAAAAAATATTTTGTCCTCAAATTTCGTATAAATGGAGTGAAATTTGAATTTTGTTAAAAAAAATAGAGACTAATAACATATTACCATCTCAAAGTGTTAGTATATTATACTCAATTTTACCTTTTTTTAAGTAAATGTCTTGTATACCTTAAAAGTCAAATAACTTAGAATAACAATATTTACAAAATTAAATTAAATAATCTAAAAGTTTATTTGATTTTGAAAAGTATTTTACTTTTATTTTTACTTTTAATTATAAACATATTGCTCTATTGAAATTTTGTTTTCAATTTTCAATGTTAACTTGTTTTAATAAAATCATTTTTAAGTTACATTTTATAAATAGGTGTAATAGAAAAATTTATTATCATAATATTGAATAAAAAATAAAAATTATGTTGAAATATGAAGTTCACATTTATGAGTTAACAGCAACACATCAAAAGCTGTGTAACTAAGAAAATCTCAATTTCAAAATTGTTTAAAATATTTTAAATGAGTTATTCAAACTTATAACTCAATCACTCTTTCTATATTGAAATCAAGTTCACATTCAATCATTAGGTAAATCTAGAGCGCTTTAGTTATTAAAATATATAATATTATTAAAGTCATTTTTCAAAATTTTAAATTTAAAAATTTATTATTTAAAAATTGAGATTCTTAACATTAAAAAAACATAAAATTAAGTAATAGAATGACAATCTATCACATAAGTATCAGGACACAACAATTTCATTTAAAATTTTTTAAAAATAGTTCATTTTGATCTTAGACTTTTATAATTTCTTAAAAATAAAATCTCTTCCTCTTTTTTCTTTCTTTTGTTTTATCTTTTGCATGAAGTCTTCTTTTTCAGCCATATCTTTGCCTTTAACCACCATAAACTGCACCCTGCTATCAATATTATCATTTGACCAAAATGTCAGTAACTCTCTTTCTCTTTCACTTCTTAAATTTACACAAGTCAGTTTACTATTATCAACACCTTTTTTCCACCGCAAATCAAGGCTCCTATCATCAATGTCGTTATCATTTAACCAAAAAGCCATTCACCCTCTTCCTCTCTCACTCCTCAAGCCCTACATATTAAGTCACTTTGTGAATGTCAAAATGTTAAACCATCCCATTTCATAAAAAAAAACAAAAATAAATTATTTTAAAAAATTCATAAAACATTACTTCCTTCCTTATGTTGCTTAATAAGACATTATTATTTTGTTAATCAATTTTAACATTTTTTAAACGACAAAAACTAATTTCATTAACAATTGTTACTCTCAAATATTAACATCTAAAATTTTAAAATTAAGAAACTAAACCATCCAATCTAAAATTAAATTTAATTAAATATTATATTCAAATCAACTTAAAACGATTCACCTTATTTGATGTTCAAATTCAAATGTTTATTACTTAAAACTTAATTTATACTAAACCAAACAATTCTATAAAATTATTCTTTCATTTGTGTACTTAATATCTGTTTTAAGACTTTAAATGTTCAATATAGGCTTTCTATGTTTCGCATTTTTCAGTCGGTTTAACATATCAGTCACAATCCATCATTTTCTTATAATTATTTGTCAACTGTAAAATAGCCCGGTCCCATTTTACCTTTCTTCGATGGGCCAAATTATAAGTTTATTATTTTGTAATTTTTTCTTCAAAATACATGTCAATAATCATATAGCATAAAGCTAGGAGAACATTTGATTAGCTCGTCTTTCGGAAATGTGAATGCCCGTCGATGTGCTTCACGTGTTAATCAACTCCCACAAATGTCAGACATGACTACTTTATGGAAAGAAAAAACGGTCGAAATCGACAAAACAAAACAGAAGATAGTATATTGAAAACGAATAAATAGAGCAGTGATATGTAGCTTCAGCTATTCAACCTTTTACATTGAATACTAAATTGTGAGCAACTGACAGAGACCAACAAATGATACCTGCCACACAAACGCAGACGATACTTAATAATATACCCTCCAATTAATCTACCTCAATAGCGGATCTGAACGAAACGTATCTGGTCATGGTCATGTCTAGTGCAAAACAATAATAAAAAGCCATTCCGAACACTTACCGGCGAATCTCAGTTAGAAACAACAAATAATTTACAGACATATTGAAGCCTATGTAAAATAGTACGAATTGAAGTATGCACAGAATTATCCAACCACAATACAGGGTGACAAGTCGAGCACATCCCATTGCTACAATAACAATATCTATTACAGTAAACAAAAGATGGGTTTTGACTCACTCACATTGAATCAGGAACAACCAAAACATCTACTTACAGAGAAAAAACTAGATGGCTGCGGCTCTGCATCAGGCTCTGATTTTCTTTGAGGAAGCTGCTTAAAAAATGCTTTCACAGCTCCTGTCACTCCATCCTCATTTTCCATGGCCTTGGCAAGGTCAATTGCACGTTCCTTTACCTGGAATTATGTTAACTAATTAATGTAACGGTTATTATCTTTTGCAATAATACATACAACAAAACAGATTTCAACCATAATTGGATTTGCTTTGCACAAAATCTCAAAACACTAAAAGTTCCTCATTAGGGACAATCATTTAACGACATGCAGGGTCAACACCTCCCGATCAGCACATCCAACAAATACAAAACAAAAATAAGCTGAGCATAAAACTGAATTTGATATAGATAAGGGTCAATTCCAAGGTTGTTCAAAACGCAGCAGTGTAGACAAGACTCTAAACAGCAATTTGATCACTTCTGTTTGGCCATTGGATTCAGGGTGATAAGTTGTGCTCATTGTGACTTGCAATTTGAGTAGACATACTTAGAGAGCCTGTCAACTACCACCAAAATGACATTGTTACCTTCGGATCGAAGATATGGGCTGTAATAATCCGCTTGGAAGGGTACCGATGCAGCGTACGTGATGGAATAATAGGGAGACTATCAATAACTCGTTGATTCTAAGAATACCAAGGGATTGACACAAGGATATTGAGAAATATTCAAAACTTCATTAATTAACCTGCCCCTTTCATAGGCCTTTGATGCCAATATATAAGATCAGCAAAACTACTAAAATCCTAACAAACTGATCCTAACAAATTGATAAATATAAATCTTCTTAATTAAAGGAAAGATAAAGATCCTAACAAACTGATAAAAATTAAAAAACCTACTAGAAAGATGAAAACATAAATATGGCTGTTAGCCACTTTGCATGACATCATTCTCCCCAGAATGAGAAAGATTCACCCTCGAATCGGACAATGGCTCATCAACAAAAGTATTGTCACCCAAGAATGGAATAAGATGTTTCACATTGAAAACATCAGATGTGTGAATGTGACTTGGCAATTGCACATGATATGCATTCTGATTTATCTTCTCAGTAATTTCCACAGGTCCTATTTTACAGGCAACAAGTTTGTTCTAGTCATGAGCTGGAATGCAATCCTTGGTAAGAAATAGCCCAAACAAGGTCACCAACCGAAAAGTCCACAGATCGGCATTTTTTATCAACATGTATCTTGTATTTGTCCGTAGATATGGTTAACTTGGAATGAGTTTGTTGGTGAATTTCGCAAAGCTGTTCAATAAACTCCTCAGCTGTAGCATGTGTGCGCACATTACTAGGAAGAGTCAACAGTCTAGTGGGCCACGTGGGACGATCCCATAGATGACCTGAAAAGGACTAAATCCAGTGCTTGTATTTTTGGCACATATCACAAGATCTTACAAACTCTGACAGATTTTTTCATTCCCAAATAGGAAAGATTCCCAGCTAACCTACGATACATTCAGTGATAACCAGAATGTCCCCTAATAGTTGTAGCATGAAACTCCTGCAGTAATGTAGGAATAAGAACAGACTTTACAGAAACTACTGATCTGTTTTTGAAGAAAAGCACTCCTCTGTGAAGAGAAAAGTAGGGCCGACTATTAGCATCCTTGGTGAGATAAAAAATGATGTGCTGTAACTCGGTCCATATCCACCTCTTTTTTAAGCTCTGTGCTTTGTTGCCAAATCAGAAAAGAAACTAAACTAGCCAATTCACCTTCTATTGGCAAACAAGAAAGTGTGTCTGGCAGCTTTGTTTTCAGGCCCTGGTTTATATATCACCTCAAATTGGAAAGCCCAACCAATTTTCTGATCTGCAGAAACCACTCGTTGCTGCAACAACTCCTTAAGACCACTTGAAAATACAATAAACTTGGTGCCATTAAGTAATGGCACCAATGCAAAACTGATAGGGCTACTTTCATGAGCTCTTTCTCATAAATAGATTTTGAGGTTGGTAGAGAGTGATTTGCTAAAATAAGCCAAGGGTTTACCATGTTGGATTAAGACAGCACCCAAGCCTGTGCCTGATGTATCACATTCCAAGGCCAAAGGGCTGTGAGAAATCAGATAAGGACAACACAGGAGCAGTTGTAATTGTCTTCTAAAGAATTTCAAATGTTTGTTGAGCTGCTGGTCCCCAATTAGAAGCTTCCTTTTTGGTCAATTCTGTAAATGGTTTTGCCAGCTGCCACACCCCAGTATGAACTTTCAATAGTATCCCATCAATCCCCCAAAACCTCTAGCACCTTTCACATTTCTAGGTTCTGGCCAATTGAGAACACACTGCACCTTAGTTGGATCCACAGACAACCTCATTTGAGAAAATGTGATCCAAATACTCAACTTGAGTTCTCCCAAAGCTACATTTCTTCTTATTTGCAACAAACTGATTTTCTTTGAGCACTTGAAGGACAGTAGATAGGTGCTGCAAGTGAAGCTTCCAATCCCTACAATACACCAATATATCATAAAAAGTACAAGCACAAATCTGTGTAACATGGCTTGAAAGTCCGGTTCATTGTTGCTTGAAAAGTAGCTGGGACATTCACAAACCCAAAGGGCACTACAAGGTATTCATAGTGACCTTCATGGGTTTTAAATGCTGTCTTGGACACATCTTCCTCCCTCATCCTTATCTTATGGCACCCAAATTTTAAATTTAACTTTTAAAAGAAGCTTGATCCATGTAATTCATCAATCAACTCATGAACAACTGGAATAGGAAATTTGTCCTACACCATTGCCTTATTAAGAGGCTTGTAGTCCATGCATGTCCTCCATGTAGCATATTTTTTCTTAACAAGAATTACTGGACTAAAAAACGACTAGAACTATGATGAGTTATACCTTGCGGCAACATTTTGTGAACTTGATGCTCAATTTCAGTTTTTTGATGATGTGGATTGTGATATGGCCTAACATTTATTGGTTTTGTGCCTTCCTTCAGATTGATGGAATGGACAATTCCTGAAGCATGTAGCCCAAACATTTCCTTAAAAACTTGTGGAGACACTTGCAACATTCCCTCTAACTCCAACTGCTGTTGCGAATTCAGCACTCCCTATTGTTTCCCACCAAAGCCCCTACTCTAAGTTCCACAGTTAACCTCCTTGCATCCTTTTCAAGCCTTCCAAAGCACCAAGGAAAGAGTCTTTAATGTAGGGAGTGCCACCGTAAGTGCATCTTGAACCTAGCACAGCAACAACATGCAATTCGACAGTCTTTTCCTGACTTGAAGGACAGTCATATTCCCCCAATCCATTTCCATCTTATCTAGTGTTTCCAGCCTGCTATCTGTAAGATCATGTCCACCCCTCCTAAGTCCAGAACATAAGCATCCACAACCTCATCTGTATGTTTGAACTGCAAAGGTAGATTGAAGCATTTTGCCCTTATGTAAACCTTGTGACCATCCCCCAACCTCACCCCAAATCGTTTTGTAGAGTCTAAAAGAAAATTCAGTGAATATAATACCACCTCTGGAGCCACAAAGTTATGACTCGCCGCACTATCAACCAACACCAAAATGGGTACCCCTTTCAAGGTGCCATCCAACTCAGCTTTATACATTGAAAAATCAGAACTTGTCACTCCCATGAGGCCCATAAGCTTACACTTTAATGCCAATATTTCTTCTGCTTCTCCCTCACTGTCCCCATCTCCCATTATTACTAGCTTTAAGCTTTTTACTAGGCACTCATGCAAGGGATGAAACTTCTCCGCACAACAAAAACACAACCCCTTCACCTTTCTTGATGGACGAGTGATGGACACCTCTGGATATTTCTGCAGAACCATGATGATCATTGTCCCACTTGTGCTGAGCTGAGTTCAACGTTGTTTTAGACAAGTCCTTCATATATGCCGACTTTTGGTGGGAAGAACCCGATCCTAATTGGGCCCAATAACTACTGGGTTTTGTGGAGCCCATTAGACTTGATCCATCTTTCTCATTCTGATTTAAGTGTGACCCATATGGTTTTCCTATTTTGGCTCATATAACCTGAATGAATCTAAAAATGACGAAACGTCATTGCTAATTACCAAGCTGTCAATTTCCGGTTCCATGTCTTGTGCAATCTGCATCGCCTACCATTGATTGAGAGGGGAAAAAAACAGACCCTTTGTCAGATATTGAGTCTTAGTCAAGCCATGAAATATAAGATATTGGGATTCCAATAAGTGAGGAACCTGTGCTGAAACAATTTCAAACAATCAATGTAGTCATCTGCCATACATGATTGATGAATCACCGGTAATTCTTTTTCCCCCATAGAGTGCAACAGCAAAGCCTGTTTTAACTTTGTCCATGTTTGTTGCTCCTCTGATTCTTGTAATAACATAAACCAATAAATGGTACTTCAATTCATCATGCGTATCATGCACTCGGAGTAGGTTTCGCACGTTGGATCTACCCCATGGGATCAACCACTTGGAATCCTGACACCTCAACTTGTTTGCTGCAAGGCGATGCTCATGTACTCTGTCATACGATGGCCCACCTGATTTTGGAATCTCCATGTGTCGTCTCCTACTCCTATGCCACTGTTATGCCCCTCATTTCTGCGAAGGGACTGATGCACATCCTCTTGAAATTCGATGAATGAACATTGCATCTTGCATTGTGACTGCTGAATCTCCAAAAGAATAGCTTGAAACTCGCTTAAAGAGCTGTCCAAATGCTTCCAACTGAGTTACCCACACCTCCAACAGTTGGTTTTGGTGGCATTGTGACGTAATCGGCAAGTTGGACCAATTGATGGAAACCAACAAGAATGAAATGTAAGTATTACTATACGAAAAAGAAAAGGGTGGGTACACATAACCAGAGCCTATGGGTCCAATAGAACTCCCAATAAATACTGGAATTCTGCTCCCTCTAACAAAATGCAACAACTTACTTTTCCCAATGCCTTCACACACATGCCTCTCGCTCTCATAATGCTTCTTCCAACTAACTCATGCACTGAATTCCCTTTTTGTGCCCTTACTCTTTCTTTCTCACATACACCTTCCACACTTTAGGCCTCTCAATAGGATCCAATAACTGATCCTGTTCCCTTAGCATGTCACTTGGGCCAACAGCCCCAACACCCATTGAGAATGTACAGATTAAGAATTACCTCTAGTCAAGCTCTGATAGCATGTTGAGAGAGACATACGATGAATCCAGGTGTTAGAATAAAAAGTGAAGCTATTTATTTATAATAATACTCAATCATTACACAATATTACATGATATCTACATGATATTTTGTTATCTAAAATCATGTTATCTACATAGCTCCTTACTTACATAGTTACTTTATTTACATTATTCTCAATAACAACGTTCGCTCAATACTACTTGAAGGGCTAGTACACAACTAGCTCACATGGGCGCTAAGGCTGCAAAGCATGATGGGATGTTACGATTCAATTGCAAAGTTTGAGACTTGAATTCCAGAAAGTATGGGATTCTAGCGAAGTCTATAAGACCTTGGCTTCATCAAATACAATGATTAGCTTTTATGAGTAATGCACAACCAGCTTGCATGGGACTAGGGCTACAGAGCATAGTATGTTAGGATCTAATTGCAAGGTACAAGAGTCCCACATTGGAAGTATGAGATCCTAGTGTAAGGTTTATAAGTCCTTGGGCTCTAACAATAATGGCTAGCTTTTGCAGTATGGTTCTCTTCGAGGTCCTTGTCGGTTTACCAAACTAATACATTAGTATGCAGATTTTGTAGAGAAATCATTGTTTGTAATTTTTGTACTTTTTCATTCTTGCATAGTAATTTGAGGCGTTTATGTGGCTAATTCTGTTATTGGTTTCAGTAAAGTTAGTAGCAGAACTAACTGAATAATTGGACTCTTAATGGTGTATATATGGCATTGCCAATGAGGTATTGAATCAAAATGAGAATCAACCTTTCTTCCAAAGTCTCATTTTTTTCTCTCTCTCATGTTCGTTTTTCAGTTTCAGTTAGATTTCTTTTAAGCTCCATTAAATCCTACTGAGAGTGGAGCATAGACAAAGCTAACAGGAACTTGATATAGAACCAAAACCAAATATAGACACAAACTCAATGCTCCCCTTTGTGTGCTTTTGCATTTATTTTTGATATTTCAAGAAATTTATATTTACCTTGGGATCTAGCATAAATTTTATTGCATCAACCAACTTAGGAAGCGAAAACTCATCAACTGGGATAGGTGGAGGACCAACTCCTCTAGCATATACTCTTTCTCCCCAAAATGGTTGATCACCGAAAAATGGGACAATGGTCGTTGGGCACTACCAATAAAATATCAATTATTAAAAGTAGAATCAAATGATATGTTAATCGGTAAGGATTCAAAAAGCTATGAAATTCTTACTGCAGCTTTCAGCCCAGCAGCTGTTGTTCCTGCACCTCCATGATGAACCTGCAAATAATTGGTAAAAGAATAAGAATTAAAATTGGAGTGATAGATAATTGAAACCAAAAATTTAAACAATACTAAAAAGAAAATTAAAATATCAATGACTTATCCAGCAGTTCTAGGAATCTAGAGAAACGAAAAACTTGGATAATTGGGTTAGTTAGCCCTGAAATGTTGCAGGGCATTGGTTATCCCAAATGGCATAACCAAATACTCAAAATAGCCTCCATGCATCTTGAAAGCAGTCTTATGCACATCAGCTGGATGCATTCTAACTTGGTTATATCCAACTCTTAAATCAATCTTGGAGAAAATCACAGATCCATGCAGTTCATCTAAAAGATCATCCACCAAAAGGAATGGAAAACTTGTCTTTGACTGTATTTTTATTAAGGCCTATAATCCACACAGCCTCCAAGACATCCTTTTTGCCAACCAAAACTACAGGACTTGCATAGGGACTGTTACTGTGCTGTATAATAACCACTCTCCAGTGATTCTTTCACTAATCTATCAATTTCATCTTTCTATTGTTTCCCATATCTGTAAGGTCGCTTACTAATTGGATTGGCCCCTTGCACAAGTGAAATTCTGTGGTCATGTCTATCTCTTGGAAGAGGCAGTTCTGTTGGTTCTTTGAAAACATCTTCAAATTCCAGCAACAATTGCTCGAAATCACTAGAGATATCAATTTCAGGAGCGTGTGTTTTCAAAGAATGCAATAAACCAGTTTCTTGGTTGCAAGAATTCTGTGGTCATGTCTATCTCTTGGAAGAGGCAGTTCTGTTGGTTCTTTGAAAACATCTTCAAATTCCAGCAACAATTGCTCGAAATAACTAGACATATCAATTTCAGGAGCATGTGTTTTCAAAGAATTCAGTAAACCAGTTTCTTGGTTGCAAGGTTGTATCATGGAGAAATGTACACTACTTTCCAAAGCCTTGGACAATTGCTGTTTCCTCACAGTTTTAACATTAGTTGTAGCCCCTCTCAGGACATGTTTCCTGCCATGGACAAAAAACTGTATTGACAACTTATCAAAATTCCATGTAATATCCCCTAATGTCACAACCCATTCAATTCCTAACACCAAATCACAACACCCTAGGGGAATTAACATATCATCAGAATTGAATTTAGTACTTTGAATTGTCCAAGAGAATCCGGTAATCTTAGAAGAAACTGTAACTTTAGTGCCATCTACAACTGTGACATTTAGAGACTGCACTTGTAATTTCCTGGATTTTGTAAATAATATTTTAATTACTACTATATATATATATATATATATATATATATATATATATATATACACACGAATTGCCATATGTTGAGTGTTTGGGTATGTGATAATGATGTGTATTAGATGATGGTAGAAATACATGTGTGTGAATATATGTAGATAAATATGCAAGTATGATGTGAATATTGCCTTTTGAGTTAAGATTGGACATGTTTGATTTGTGACTTAGCTGGACTAATTGGAAAATATAGTTTGGAGTGTGCTGCAGGGGCGTTCTCGCTGTAGCAAGAAGGCCCTGGGCATGAAGCATGAGTCTGTGGCGTTCTCACTGCAGCGAGAGGACCCTAGGAGAAGGGGGTGATTTTGTCGCATTTTCGCTGTAGCGAAAGGGTAACAGAAAAGGGTGCATTTCTGAGTGCAGTCTCGTAGCAAGATTCTAAAAAAGTCAGAGTGCAGTTTTCTCTAAAATTTTTGCTGTAGCGAGAGTGTCGCGACCAGAAGGGTATTTGAGGGGTTTAGGATTTGGAAAACACATTCCCACTCTTTTCTCTTCATCTCTGTTCTGATTCTCTCTATTTTCAACCTGTTCTTACCGATTAAACTGCCTTCAAAGCCGATCGTGAGTTGGGTTGAAGGTTGAAATCGTGTTTAGAACGCTTAGAGGTGATTTTTATTGGTTAGAGTTTCGGTTCCCTCTTCCTTGATTTCTCAGTTTCTCATAAAAAAATTTCATGTGTTTAGGACAAAATCCGTGGAGCTTTTTCATTGTTGATTTTGTGTTGTCTTCTATCCGAGATAAAGGAGGACTCTACCATATCTCATTTTTGTTTTGAACCCGTTCCTTTTATATGTTGTAAGGTGGTTGAGATAGAATGTAAGAATATGTATTTTGATGGATTTCTCGTGCTGAAATGGTTGGATTGTGATTTGGGTTGTAACTAGGAATGGTGTGTATGGAATATAATGTGATTGAGTGTGGGCATATGTGCTGTGTGTGAACATGAATATTATGACGTAATTGAGAATGTGGGTAAAATGTGTGCAGACATGCCATTGATTGATGTTGAATAATGAGATGATTGAAAGTGTGTGGGATGGCATGTTGAATGTAAATGTGGTTGTGTTTGAATATCTTGGAATGTTGTGAATGGTTCAGTGATACACTGGGAATGTGAAAGATGGGAGCAGTAAGAATACCTTAAGGAAGAGAGGGTGATGGTGACACCAACAGTGAGCTTGAGTGCACTACAAGCCACACACTGTCCTTCTGACTCAGCCCCTGACTAACACCTTTGCTAAGGGGACCATTGATGAATCCACATTTATTGAATTTTTACTTGTCTTTTTAGTATTCCTTAATAGAAAAAGTAAACTTAGAAAATGTAAATAACATAAAAAGATCATTTTAGTTAAATATCATAGGTTTCTTAATTTTTGGTTAATTTACATTTATTTACATAGATATAATTTATAATTTTGATCATTTGAATAATTGTGCAGGAATTTCTAGGCTTATTTTATGGATTTCTAGCCTTTGAAAAAATTTGAGTTGAAAGTGACTATTTTCAGAAGTGATAGTAGACACTACAACAAGCTAGATCCAGAAGGCAGATCAAAGTGATCACTTTCAAAGTGATAGTGGACATTACAGAGACCCCCAGACTAAAGAAGGTCTGTGCGTACTTTGAAATCCACAGTGACAAAGCCACTTTGAATTCCATAGTGACCACTCTAGAGAGGGATGACAGGATGGGAGGCTGCGCGTATCTACTATGACTTTTATAATAGCTATTATGGACGACGACTACAGCACTATGTTAGAAATCTTTTTTACACTTTTAGATTTTTTGCCATTTTGGGAACACTTACAGAGCTTATGTCAGCCTTAGGTGACAGCCAAGGACCCAACCTAGGGTTTGATTTTCATCTTCTTCCTACTTTTCTTTGATTTCTGCATTAATGTTGCTGATTTTTCTTTATTTTTATTTGATAATTGTAAGACCTATCCTCATAGAGGGCTAAACTTTTTATAATCCCTAGTGACTGCACTTAGACTCCTGAATTCCTGGGTTTTGAATATTAATATAATTCTTTTTTTCCATGAATTTCTTTATTCCAAACTCTTGAATCAAATTAATGGTTGAATGATAGAAGCATTGCGTAATGAACCCTAATTCGTGTTAATGAAATTCTAAACTTGAATTGCTTAATTCTAGATTTATTTCTAAGATTGCGTAATCTTGGAATGAGAGATTAGAATTCATTGAATTGCTTAATTCTTATGAAAATATAAGATTGATTTTCGCTTGTTAAATTAACCTAATTCTGAGAGAAAAGTAAGAGTATTAAATCTTGAGAGGAATAGAGATAGAGTCTACATGAATGAACTAGGGATTACCACTTTTTATTGATTGAACTTTATAATTTTGTTTCTTGCTCTTTATATTAACTTTGGAATTACACAAACCCCCCTCCCAATTAATTGCTTTTGTAGTTAATGTTTATAACATGTTTGATGCATATTCACAACTATTGTCATCGGAGACGACCTAGGTTAGCACCCTAATATTACATTAATTTCTATTTATATTTTAATGAGAATTTGCGACAAAACTTTCATTCATCACCCGTGACCGCACACGTATCCGTGAGACAGGAGTAATACTGCGACCATCTATGGTGTGAAACTGAGTAAATCCCTAAAGTTGAAGACATCAGGAATTTGTGATCATAGTGCCACAGTGAGCGTGACTAACATGCAGTGAGCGCACGTGTGTATGAATTGTTTGATGATGCAGTGAACGCACCCGTGTGTGAATTAATGTGATTTATTTCTGTGTACAGTGAGCGTACACGTGTGATGATTGATATGTACTTGATGAGCGTGTGAATGCGATAATCCGGATTTTATTATATAATGATTGGAGTAGGCAAGGTGAGTCTCTATATTTGTATGTGATAGTGTAGAATACTCACCTTTACATTTATTTTCCAGGTGACCAAGACGACCAACACTAGACTCAGTGGACGGAAGGATGGAACTGTTATAGAACTTAGCAAACTGATTTTTGAAATTTGATGTATTTAATTTGGTCTTATAGCATTTATTTGATGCAAACTTGTAACCCTCCTTCTTTCGAAATACTCTATTGAACCACGTATTGAAAACCGTTTAAATGAAAGTTTTTATTATTCCTAAAAATTTTGCGAAAATTAATTATTTGGAAAAATTAAAGTGTTACAGCACTAGGGAGACTTTACAGCCAAGCTATTTAGCTACTTCAATGTCCAAGACGATATGAGTGCTTCCACTATCAATGAGCACATGCAAAGGTTTCTTGCTGACATAACCAGTGATTCTCATAGTCTTAAACCTAGTTAGACCAGTCATAGCATTCATTGAAATTAAAGGGTCAGCAGTGTCGTGCTCCACAGATTCCTCAGCAAGGGACATGTCGTCCAAGGTTTTTGTCACTTCTTCAACTTCCAGAACATGAATTTGTAACTTTTTGTGGGTTAGACTATGTTCTATAGTGAAGGATTCATCACAAAAGTAACATAAAACCTTGGCACGCCGCTCACTAATATAAGCCAAGGTACGGCTTTTTGTAACTTGTGTTTTAAGTTTGAAGGTGTCTGAGGATTTGGGTGGGTTAGACAGTATAGGGGGTTTGTTGGCAGGTTTAAATGGCTTAGAAAATGGTTTTGAGACTATGGTGGAATTGGTACTGGATTCATATAGTTTGGCCAAGGAAAATGC